TCTGGTACCATCAATCTGCTCCTGGACAAAAAATATTCTTACAGACTTGGAGGTGATTTACAAAATGATTTAATTGCCTGGCAGGCACTACAAATGCCATCCTGTTAGCAAAGACAAGCGATGGGTATGGTTTCTTTCGTAAAGGTGACCACAAACATCGCACTGGGAAGTGGAAGCAGCTGGCAACTTCTGCACGTTTGATGTTTGATTCTGGTGGCAGGCAGAAACACAACAGGCAGAATTGCCAATGATTTTTTTTTTTGTTTGCTTGTGTAATACATTTTTAAAAGCTTAAATGTGTTTTTAAATATGTCTTATGTGCATTTTAAATGGGTCTTCCAGTGTGCAGTAGAGCTTTCCAGGTACACTCTGTATTTTGCCATGAAGATACCAAGGAAATGCGATGAACAAAGGATACTTGTAACGTTTTCCCCGGAAGAAGGAAATTTCGTAACTCCTCATACATAAGCCTTTCCTAAAAGTAATGCAAAACTTCCACAGTGCAGGAGAGGAACAAAGCCGTAGCAGCTCTGACTGTTCCAGTGACACAGCAAACCTGCTTGAGGAGCATTTTATAAGCCAAAATTTCCACTTAGCTAATGCTACGGAAAGGTGCAACATGGGGTTTTTCCCTTTCCTTTATTATTTTAATTAGGCCTTCAGTATTACCTTGGAACATACGATTTGGGAAGAACACCACGTGAAGGAAAAAAGTGTTTATTGCATTTATCTGTACATTTTCACTGAGATGCAAAGGTTGAAGGGTTGGGGGCCCTCCAGCCTGCCTGGGTAGCTGGGGGTGGGAGCGTGAGCTAGCATGGAGGCCCAGCAGCGCACTGCCGGCAGCTGGGTGGGTGCCCAGCCTCGAGTGGTGAACGCTGCAGAAGGAGAGCTCTCCTTCACTGTCGTTCTCTCATAAATCACCCTCATTATTCTAATGAGGAGAGCTGCATCCCGCTGCTGCGAGCCCTGCTGGTTTACAGAGAGAGGGAAGTAAATAAAAAGGAACAATGCTGGCTGCTGCTGCGGGAGGGAGAACAATAGTCCTGACTCTCCTCCCTGCCACCACCCAGTTAGGAGGGAAGAAGGGGGATGGCTTCGTGCACGCCCCTGGAATTATTCCAGATCAGAACTGAAATCAGACCCCGGACTCGTCAGCATCTGCTGAAGGAAAAAGCAAGTAAAACAGAAGGCAGAGGCATGTTGTTTTCAAGGCTCTAAGAGAATGTTGCTAAGGAAAGAAAAGGATGGGATACAAGGCTTTGCAATGTCTGTCTGAGTAACTAATGCACTATAAATACCGACCTGAGCTCTAATAGCAGGATCAAGTCTTAGCTCTATGCCTTTGGGTTTTTTTAGAGTAAGAAGGTAGATTTTAGTTTTTGAGTTAAAACTCTACAAATTTGTCTCTTAAAAAAATGTATTTGGTTCCTTTTCTTTCTCTGTATTAGTTTAAGTCTTCTTGCAGTCTTGAAAATTAGAAACTTGTTTTTCTGTAATGAAATCTTAGATTTTTATTTACTACATGAATCTGAAGCTTTAAGCAAACCACAAACTACCATGAGATTTATACAAAAATGACAGCCAAAATTATGTGCAGCCCTACTCATTGTTTGCTATATTTTTGTCATGTTCCCTCTTATTGTCCCCTCTCTGTGATGACTGAAACAAATAATTCAGGTCTAGATCGCATATTATGATACCCACAAAGCCTCCTTGCTATTGTTTGGGCCAAATTAAAAGTGTTTGCTGAGAATAATTGTGGAATGGCATAAAAATTCTTCTTCATTTTGCTGAGGATTTAATTATTTCTATTGTGATAAATTATTCTTCATGTTAGAAACTAAACTTATATATTTTTAATAAAAATCATTTGAAAAATTAGACAATTTTGGCACTTCTTGTGATGCTCTCCTCTCAGGAAAATTCCTCTAGATGTTCTCAGCAGCTTATCCTCTTTTTCAGTGTCAGTTTTACTAAACTGTCTTCATCCTGCCCTTTATACAGCATACTTACTTCTATCTTTAGCTCCAGTTTGATAAATGATTCCATTTCTAAATCCCCATCTTCAGTCTCCAGCTAGATGTTATGATCATATTTTTGGCCTTTCAGACTCCAAAGAAAGCTCCGTAAATATTAGAAAACCCTTCTCTTCAGTCATCTTCCCATTTACCTTTCCTGTATTCATTTCCATGAGACACTTATATTGCGATGTTAGGAGATCCCCTAGGCCCTCTTTCAGCCCTGAAATTGCTTGTTCCTCTAACGTTCCTGATTCTGGGATGCATCATGCCACCCTGGTATTTCTTCTGGCAGAAGAGAGGCCATGTACCGCTGCCGGATGCGCTCTCTCCCAGGAGCCGGCAGCCTTCCCTTCCCCTGCCATCCCATGGGGCTTCCAGCTTCTGCTGGCCTGGGAGCTCCAGAGCTCAGCCTCCAAACCAGATCTTGCTCCATGACACCTGCAGATCATGTTGGGGCTGGACTGGAAGGAGCTGCCCTGACACGTCTTGAGTAATGCATAGCAACTGCAGAAAGCTAGGTGCAGTTGCTAGAGATAGTAAGAGACGAATTTAAATATTCATGTAAAGAAAGCACATTGTGTGCTACAGCATCTACAACCATGGATTACCAGAGTGCCTTTCTTAAAGTCATCATAATTGCATCTTCTTTGATTGGAGTATAACATGGGGTGAAATTTTCAATAGGACTTTGACCATGACCAGCTTCCAGTATTCAAAGAGACATGCATCAGGCCAAGCACAAAGCGTGAGACTGTCATTAAGTCATGAAAAAGATCTAGAATTATTTATATTTGCCTTTTATTTCTGAGCCTTTCATGTTTACTTGCTTTTGTGTTTTCAACCTTTTCTTTAAAAGGAACAGAAATATAACTTCAAGGTGGGGGGGGGAGGGGGAAGAACAAAGAAAATGCCTTGATTTCAGGAGCTAGGCCTTTGAGAAATGCACCAGGAATCCTGAATTTTCAAGTCCAGAGCATCAGCAAGCAGAGCACAAGACCCACTAACTTTCAGTAAGCCTTGTGGTATAAAATCCTCTTGTGCACTTATTAAATTCTTAGTATTATCTTAAAACTCATGCCAGAATTTTAAAATTAGTTTTGTTACCCTCTTTGCTGCCATACAGGACACAGCACTAGAATCAGAAGTTACAGATGTGGAAATTCAACACTTTGAAATCCAGTAACACCGCACAACTACTTTGGTTGGTTTTAGGGGCTTTGCTCATGCTAATGAGATGATTTTAACTACAAATTAAATCATAACTTCCCAATGTAACAGAATCCCAGTGTAGCAGAGGTAGCATCAAGTAACTCGAGCAGCATACACACACATGCATACTTACTTTTATTTACACTTCATGCAGAGCAGAAACAGAAGAGACTCCCAAGTCCTTCTGACTGCCTCAGTGTGAGCCTGCCTGGGGTGTTTTTGTACAGCATGCATTGCCTTCATTTATTTAACCACCTGCTCTCTACCAGCACCCACAAAATGGTTTTGCGAGGACCATGGGACAAGGGGCCAACTGGCTCCTTCACGTTTATTTTAAACTGAACAGGTCTGAGACCAAAAATCCATGTTTTGGACAGGCACTACTTGCAACCAAGAAACTGCACACGGGAGTGCAGCTACTGGAAGAATAATTGGTCTGCAATAGCAAGCAAACACTTCATTTTGTTGTTTCTCCTTCTCCTTCAATGGCTGCTGGCTTTTAGAATTTGCATGATGAAATTTTTTTCCTGAAGGAAAAAAATAGAGCTCCCATGGGGCAGCTTTAGCTGCCTCCCATGTGGAATTGGCTTTTCTTGGAGCAAATTATCCCATTTATTATTATTTATACCTTTAAAGAGAAAGAAAA